AAAATAATTGGCTTAATAAAATTTTGTAAAATTTTAAAAAGAAAAAATAAATACAATGAATTTTATATATAATTTACAATTTGTACTCCCTACCCTTAACAGCCAATTATACAAAGGTCTTCTTATAGGGTAGAAAAACAGAAGAAAGTGTCAATATATATATAACAGTTTCTTCACCTGGTGTGTAATATATAAAAAAAAAATTCTACAATACTAGATCATTCTGCTAGTACATATTATAATTATAATTTCATACTATTTTGGTTATAATCAAATAGTATGAGATTATAATCATAATATATACTAGTGGTATTGTAAAATAATTTTTTTATATGTTACATACTGGGTAAAGTGTAATATTAACGGTTCTTCCTGTTGGGTAAAGGTAATATTATATGAGATATATAAATATTTTTTGATTTAAAGCAAAAATTTTGATTAATTTAGACAAAAAATTTGATTTATTACAATTTTGGCTAGAATTAAACTTCAAGTTAGTGATTTTAGCTAAAATTAATTACCCAGTATCACTATAAAAATTTTACTATCACATGCTATAGATCCTCTTGATAACCAATCAGATTTGCTTATGCAGATTATATATATTAATAAATTTAAAACTTCTAGTGATTATTTCTTAATAACTATATAGTCAAATTCAGTAAACTTTTTTTATTTCAATTCTATAGCTTTATAGAATTAAAATAAAAAAAGATCATTAGATTTGGTTTAGTGATTATTGAGAAATAGTTGCTAAAATTTGTTTAAAAAAATAATATTAAATTAAGTAAATTTTTTTCTTTTTGAACTTTAAACAAAAGTTTTTCAACAACCAATTAATTAAATTAAATGATTTTTTTTATTTTAATTCTGTAGATTCATATAATTAAAATAAAAATAAATTAATTGAATTTGAATAGCAGGTTGTTAAGAAATATTTGTTAAAATTTTAAAAAAATTTAGCTATAGCTTTTTTTTTTAAACATCTAAACTTTGAACAAAGATTACTTGGTATTTACCTAGTCAAATTCAATTAATTTTTTATTTTTAATTCTACAAGCTCATAGAATTAAAATAAAAAAAATTGATCAAATTTGACAGGTAAATGCTAAGTAATTTTTGTTTAAAAATTAGATGTCTTAAAAAAAAAAGTTGTAGCCAAATTTTTTTAACAACCTGCTATTCAAATTTGATTAATTTTTTTTATTTTAATTCTATAAATCCACAGAATCAAAATAAAAAAAATTTATTTAATTTAAATAGTTAGTTGTCAAAAAATTTTGTTTAAAGCTCAAAGAAAAAATTTTACCTAATTTTAGTTAATATTAATGATAATTTTTTAATAATTACAAAATCAAATTCAATTAACTTTTTATTTTAATTCTACAAACCTATAAAATTAAAATAAAAAAGGTTTACTGAATTTGATTAAGTGGTTATTAAGAATCATTGCTAGAAGTTTTGGAATTTATTAATAGGATCTGAGTTACAGAATTTATATATTTAAATATATTAGAATATAGAAGACTCCTTTTATATATTGTGCATGTTTTTTAATATATTTTTTAATAAATCATCATTTAATACAAGATATTTTATTTCTAATAAACTATCAAACATGATTTATTTAAAATCATTATATATTCAAATATATAATAAAAAAATTGAATTTTATTTAGAAAAATTTTTTTTGTTTTAGCTAAATATTTCATAGTAGTATAATCTTAGTTACAAATTTTAAATCTAGCTAATCAACAAAATACAGAATATTTAAATTTTATCACTAATAAAATTTAAACTTTGGATATGCTGCTTAGAAGTATAACAACTTTATTACTTTACTAAAAGCTAACAAGTATTAGCTTATTAGATCCTCTCTGAATTTTAATTTAATATCTAGAGTTAGATATTTGACATATATAAATAATAATTGTCATAGCTAATGCTGAAATTAGCTAATGCTAAAATTTGAAATTTCAATTTTAAAATATAGGCTCTGTTAAAATTCATATATACTCTTTAATTATAAATTCTAACCCTAGATCCTAACCTAACTATAAAAAAAAGTAGTAAAAAAATACCCCAAAATTTTTTTAAAATTCATATTAAAATAGGTTCAAATTTTAGTATTAGCCAATTTTAGTATTAGCTGTGACAATAATTTTTATCATTTGGTGTGAGTACATTATGATATATTCTATAAGATTTAGTATAACATATAATTAATACAAATTAATAATATATTAATTTAAGAAAATTATAGGCACCTCTCGTGGGAGATATATCTCTCATGAGAGATATATCTCCTACCCGGCATACTGATGCTGGATCAGAGGTCGGTTCAGTTTATCCTGCACCCCTCTATATAAACAATGATTATCAAAGATTAATAATCATTGTTTTTTTTTTTATTACCGTATTTTGTTTTTTTTTTCGCTTGTTATTAATTTTTTTCGCTTGTTATTTATTTTTTTTTTAGCTTGCCACTTTTTGCCGTTGGTGTCGTTGGTGTCTTGTCATCGCTGGTGCCTTGTAGTCGCTAGTGTCTTGTCGTCACTAGTGTCGTCATTGGTGTTATTGTCATCATTGGTGTTGTTGTCGTCGTTGGTTTGGTGCCGCTATTAGATTTCGTGAATTGATTTTGCGTCACTAGTGACTTGTGGGGTGGTCTTGCAAAATGTTCCTGTGGGGTGGTCTTGCGTACATCCCAACTTTTTGTAGGATTTCTTCGGCGTTCTTGTAAACTTACGTGTTTCTCTGGTGTTTTTGTGGAATGGCTTTGCATTCTTTTCTAACATTCTTATAAGTGGTTATGTGTGTTTTTTCACTATGAATTTGGTTTTGATGTTTTTAGTTCTTTACTAATCTTTTTTAATTTTTTAGGCATTTTTTCTTCATACAGGGCTTGTCTTGTCTTCGTTGGATCTGGGAATTGCGCGAATGTAGCTTTTGGTGAGTAGTTAGTTTTTCTTTTTTTTCTTTATTTTTTTTTGAATATTTACTAACTATTCTTTTTTCTTCTTTGG